TTTCTGGGTTGCAAGCACACATTGCTGGCTCATGGTGAGCTTCTCGTGAGCCAACACCTCCAGGTCCTTCTCCTCAGGGCAGCGCTCAACGCATTTGAGGAATCTCACTTCTTTGTTCACTGGCATAGCACCTTTTTGTTGTCAGCTCAACTACAAGCTGTGCTGTTCTGTAATCAAGTCACACTGCGAACCTGTGTATTGCTTCCTGCTGGGTCTTAATTCTAGATTACTTCAAGCATTGCTATTATCCATCAGTAAATTCCCAATTTGAGACCTCCTCTCCTACGAGCCTGCCTTTTCATGAACTTTGTTCCCTTTGCTCTACTATCCTGTAACAATTCTACTTAAGTTCAGTTTACTCCAAAGTAAAGATATTGTTAGTTTCAAAGGTTACAGGTTTTGCTTGAGGCCCCTATTCAACAAAGCATTTAATTACATGCCTAACTTTAACCACATGCTTAAATCCAATTGATCTCAGCAAGCAGAGATGAGCTTAAGCATATGTTAAAAAAGAAAAAAAAAAAAAAAAGTTAGGCATGCAAGTCAATGCTTTGCTGAACAAAATCCTCAGTTTTTGTAATCACATGGATGATTTATTTTCCATATTTGGCAAGAATTGACAGCTCAATGCTTTCATGTTACAGGATTTAAAAATGAGGCTTCACAAGAGTCCAAAACTGACATCATGCTTTTGTTCCTTTCTTAAAATAAGAAAGGGAAATAAATACTTAAGCAAATATTCAACAGTACAACAATCATTAAGCCTCTAGGATTTAAACACACAGTAACTCTACATTCTCGTTACTGCAGTACCCTCTGAAAAAGATAAAATAAAATTAAAAAGCCCTGTGAAAATGTTTAAAAAAGACTTGCCGCACGTGCATCTCAGTAAGATAAGCAGCATGTTCCCTGCTAGCTCGTTAGCCACTGCCATCACTGCATAGTTAAATGGTGAGAACAAAGCTGTCAATTTCTTAATTCTTTTCTAACTAAACACATTTAAATAAAATGGATTTAACTCATTGCTCCAAGAAAGATTTAGGGGGGAGAAGTGGCAAGAAGATAGCAGTCTTTGGTTTTGGTCATGGGTTGACTACTTCTACAGGTCTCCAACCCACATGACAGCAGATGTATGATTTTACGTCGATAAACAACAAATGCAGTTGGAATAACAGGAATTTCACTGAGAGTGTTTAAAATCACTTCCAAATGTCTTCCATTGTTTACATGCAGACTACTCCATGACCTTTCTCTTAATTGTTTTGTTTTGTTTTGCTTTATTTGCGCTTTTTTGTTTTCTCTGCTTTCCCTCATTCTGCTGCCTGGTAACTACAGGTAGGGGCTACATGGAATGGAGTTAGGCAGCCATACCAAGTGTGCTCTGCGTACCACCTAACTGTAAGGATCTGGTTTTGGGAGCAGTGCCGTTTGAGAAAGAAATGATGAAGGAAAAAAAAGGAAAATTATTACTTCCTCTCCAACCATGAAGCCTTCCAAAATTCAATTAACGTGTTCTAAACTAAACTGTCAACACATGCTATGGCAATAAAATGCTTAATTTCAAATGTATACAAGAAAGTAGCTGCTCATTGATATTTATCAGAATTTTAATATCCCCTGACCATTGCATTTCCACCATTGTTACTGAAGCGGCATTTGTTGTAACACTTTTGTCCCTCAGTAGTTACGATGAGCCCTAAAAATCCTATAGACAATATATATAATCACACCTGTCGTACCTCTTAAATAGCACTACAAACCCCAAAAGCCACTCAGAGATGCAGTTCCCACCCCTAGCACAAATAGCATTGTCTACTAATGATTACTAAAGGATTACGTTTGCTGTTTTCCCCACAGCAAATACATCTTGTGATTTTAGGGTTTCTAAGATGGAAATGACACCTTTGCTTTCACAGATTCAGTGGTGCAACCAATAGGAAAACCACCCATGTTCATTTACAGCACAACCACTGTAAATGCTGCTGGATACCCAAGACCCGTAGGTAAAACTCTGAACAACTTTTGGCCACTTTCTACTACAAAGGAAGGGCAGGAGGCGAGGAGGCAGAAGTGTAGAAACTCCTCTGTGCCGCTGTGCGTACAACTACTCATCTGTGACTGCTCATCTCCTTTTCCCACTGCGGTTCTAAGCACTAACACCTGCTGGAAAGCTGAAACCCGATAGGCAGTAAGTACAGATACAGGGTTAGATCCACAGCCTGCACTAATGGATTTTTTCGGATAGATGGCAGTGCACAAAGTGCATCTGAGACTGGTCCAGGGTCGAGAATCCATTTCAATGCTCAGACACTAACTAAGGGAATTACCGCATTATCAAAAGCGCTTTTAGAAAGATCATGGCTTCAGACCCTGTCCTGCTGCACTGGGATATCTTTAGCTCTTTTGAAGGGGTGAGCTAGGTGCCAAGAACATAAAAGTGGCAAAGCAGCGCTTTGGATTTTATTTCCCATTCCTGTGAGTGGCAAAGGGGATGTTTATTTATTTTTTTTTAATGCATTCTAACAAACGTGGTTTTAAAGCACAAAGCTAAAAGATGATTAGGAAGACAAAGTATGAGATCCGGCATACCGGACACAGCAGATCATTAAACTGGTTCTCTGGGGTTGGTGACAGTATAGATTTAGAAATATTCCAGCAATAAAAAAGGGCATTTCAAATCACTCTCATTGGCAACAGAATCTACAAATACTACTCACTTTGTGCCCTCCTCATTCTAACACAGCTAAGAAAGCAGCGTGAAATTTTAACCATTTAACTGCATTTAGCCTGGCAAGTCCCTTTCTCACAAAAGGAAAACCCTAACAAAGCAGCTGAAACGCACAGGAGCGGATCTCACTACACGGCTGGCAGTTCTGTGCCCACTTTGGGGTTTTGACACGCAGCTCTCATGATGTGGAAGCATCCACCACCGTTTTGTTTTCTGTTCACAGTAGGGGGTTGCTAGGAAACAAAATACTATTGTCTGATTTCATGATCTATTGCCTGGTTTGCCTGGCGTGAGCGTCTTCTGAAGCTATCACCGGATTATTTTACATTGCATGGAGATTAAGACTAACATTAAAACACATGCATGAAATGAGAGGAATGGTAAAAAAAAAAAAAAGAAAAGCCTCAAAATTCAGGGGAAAGAAGACAAAGTATCCTGGAAAAATGAGCTCTGGTAGCCTGGTGCTATTTATGTACATACACACTGGCACGTGCATCACCGCTCCCTTACTGTACCTATAGTTTTGTGGACTTGTCGGAGACTCTCTTGCCTCCGAGGACACAAAACGTTCCCTTACTACTGGAGAGCTACTGTACGCTGCAAGTTCTGTAAATACCACATGCTGCAGAACGCCTGGTGCCGCCGAGCAAACACACTGGAGTCATTTTTTCCAGATTTCAGCTGAGGGTTGTTTTGGTGCCTTAATTTCTTTATGTAATCGGTTTTGCACATTTGGACTGAGAGAGGTCTAAGACAATTCCCCCCTCGCCCTCCCCTTGGCTGTAATGCAAATAAATAAATAAATGAAAGCATCAGGAAAAGAGATCTAGAATTGAAAGCCACAAAAGCACATTTCACCTCTTTTTTACAGCAAGGCATCTTTGTGAAGGGAGAGATTAAAGCACTATTAGGCACCCACGTTTGTTTAGTTCTATGAAGCATCCCCACAGCACACACGGAGACCTCAACACCAAAAAAAATACACAATCACTCTTAAAAAGCTGAGAAGGAGATGGAGAGACTTCTGTACAATGCGTTACAGAAAGAGGTTTCAAATAAAACCTGCAGAGTAGTTATTACTCTTTTATGCATATCTACGGTTTCGCACCACGCACAACACGCGCTATTTCAAAGTCCTTTCAACTTATTTATTAATGTCAACGCATTTTATCATTCCGTTTTAAATTCCGGAAAAGAAAATAATAATAATAATAATGAATGAGGCATGTTGCAAAAGGCATCAAAGCTCTTGACACGCTACAGCAGAACTTCCAGCGATAAAAAGAGAAAAGTAACAACAGGCAAGACAGAAAATACACCCGGGCTTCTCGCCTCCCCTGCCCAGGGATGGATTCCCTCAGACCCCAACCTTCCTCACGGCCACCAGCCCTCTCCAAAACCACCCTGGGGATGAAAGAGCGAGAGGAAAAGGCAAGGCAGCTTCTTTTGCAGCCCAGACAACAGCAAGATTAGATCAAAGCACCGGGAGATGGACACGACCCGCAGCCAATCCCGGGTAGGATACGGCTTTTCCCCGGCTGGGAAGCTCCTAGGGTAACCCCACCGCCACCCCGGGATGCTGGGGCGTGCAGCATCACCCCGACACCTCCTCCCAAGCGCTCGCTCGGGCACCGGGGGGGGGGACAGAGGAGGAGAGCGACGGGACAGCCACCCCCGGAGCCGCCACCGCTCCGGGAGCTGCAGGGGGGGCTGCCTTGCCGCAGCTGGGGGCGCCTGGCTCCCCGCAGCCACCAGCAGGGCTCTGCCAGGGGGGACACGGGTTTTGTAGGGTCCCCGGTCCCTGCTGGACAGAGCTGGGGGACCCGGAGGGTGCTCCCTTTTTTTTTTTTTTTTTGGGGGGGGGCACAAAAGGGGGTTCCCAGCCCAGCCCGGTGGGGGGGCGGCGGCAACTGCAATTTACAAAAAAATAAACAAGCAAGAAAAGGGTAAATAAATAAATATATAAATATAAATAAATGGCCCGCTAGCGGAGCGCGGGGAGTGGGGGGGGGGTATGGGTAGGGTGAACACCCCAAAAGCAGCCGGCCCCCAAACAAGAGCCGAAGCCGGGCGCCCAGGAGAGCAAACTTTCCGACTCACCGGGGAGAGCCGGTGCCGGGGGGGGGGGGGGGCTGTGCACGGCCCCCGGGAAGCGGAGCCGGGACCGGGACCGGGATCGGGATCGGGACCGGGATGAAGGAGGGGGACAGCGCGGCTCGCCCCGCTCCCCTCGCCCTCCTTCCCTCCCTCCCCCTGCCCTCCCCGTACCTACCGGCTGCCGGTGCGGGGCCGCGGAGCAGCGGGAGCCGCCGCCCGCCCCCTCTCCTTTCCTCCCCTCCCCTTTTTCCCTTTTTCCTTTCCTTTTTCCTCTCCCTTCCCCTCCCCGGCGGCGCTGCAGCGGGCGGAGGACGCCCCGCGGCGGCGGGGAGCGGGGGGCCGGGGAGGAGGAGGAGGAGGAGGCGGCGGCCGCTGCCGATGCACAGGGGAAGGAAGGAAGGGAGCGAGCGGTGTGTCCGTGTGTCTGTCTGTCTGTCTGTCTGTTTGTCTGGGTGCGGGTGTGTGTGTGGTGTGTGTGAGAGCGGCGGGGAGGGATGCTGCAAGGGAGCGAGGGAAAATTCTCCCCTCCCAGCGAAGCCGCCGACAAATGGCAAGGCAGGTGTGCAGGGGAGGCAAGGCTCCCGGAGGATGAGGAGGAGGAGGAGGAGGAAGAAAAAGAAGAAGGAGGAGGAGGAGAAGGAGTGGGGGGAGGCGGCCGGGGGTGGGCGGTGAGGAGGGCGGGGAGCACGGAGCCCGGCGGCTGGAGCGGCCCCGAGGAGGAGGAGGGGGAGGAGGATGAGGAGGAGGATGAGGAGGAGGAAGAAGAAGAAGAAGCGGCACCGGGGAGCCCAGGGCAACAGGGGGAGGTCCCCCAAGTTGTCCCCCAAGCCTCTGCTCAAACTGCCCCAGCCGCGGCTTAGGGAGCTGCATCCCACCCCGTGGGCTCCCGGTGCGCCCCCTGCGAGAAGTCCGGGGGTCGGACACGGGGATGGGGACAGGGTGGGAAGGGGGCTTGGGCTCAGCTTTCCTTCAGGAAAGGGGCAGCTGGCCGAGGACAGAGCATCCCTGCTCAGGGCACTGGTGGCAATAAGCAGTTCCCAAAATCCGAGCTGCTCCTAGAGGTGCCGCCTAACACCTCGGTGGAGAAAAGACCTAGCCAAGGTCTTTGGGGATGAATTTCAGCCCTGACAAGGGGTGTTGGTGAGTCTGAACTCTTCGTGCTGCTTGGGAAAAGCTTGTTCCTCTCCTGGCCTGAGCTGCCATGGGAGGCTGCTGGAAGCGGCCCCTTTGCGCTGGAGAGATGGCCGTGATTTAGTGCTGGAGAAAGCCTTTGTATGCCCATTTATAACAGGTTTCAGCACACTTCTGGGTGACGATTAGTTGGTAAGTGAAAAGTGGCTGTGGCTGAAAGGTGGAAACTAGCATCAGATATTAAATATTGCACGCGGCAGCTATGATTTCTAGTAGTAGGAAGAAAATCTGATAGAAAAATCTCCAGCCTCTCCTTTTTTCACAGTACTTCTTCCACCAAAGTGGCACTGAATTACATCCACAGGTATTGGGCTAATTGTGTATGCTCGCCAGCCCATCATTTTGGGTTTACCAGCAAACACGCTTATGCAACAGAAGCAATTTCCACACCACTGGGCTCATCTGATTTAAATGACACTGGCTTGTGTTGCCTCCATGAGTAGCTTTTTTCCCCTGGCTGGCAGGGTTAGTGTCACAGCTTCAGTTTGAGAAGTGACAACAAATAATACTGACACAAATTATACCAAGCAATGCAAGGGCATACACGTAGAGGACAAAAAATGGGAACTAATGCACTACCTTAGGTAAGTGTTAACTACCTCTGCTGAGGAGCAGGAGCCACTCTTTGCCCAGCTGTGAAGATGTGGATTACTTATTTCTTCATGATTTTTGTTTTGTTTTGTTTTGCTTTTCAGTTGTGATACAGATAGCTATATAAAGGAAAAATTGCTGGAGGCATTTCTGTTAGATGTAGCCCTGACAAAAGTCAGACGTAATTATAACTTGGGCATCCTATTCTATACTATTTACAGTAAAACACATCTATTTAGTACTTTAAAGCACAGACATTAATCCTGTTCATTCTTAAGCAACCATGTACTTTTAAAAAGCCTGTGGAAAACTCCTGGAGAAGTTCATGCACAATTCATATTTATGCACAATTTACCCACACAATTTACACTTTTAGCATAAATTGGTTTGGGAAATGAAGGACTAGTTAATAAATCACATCACTTCCAGTGTCTGAATATATTTCTTAAGTTTGTTGCATTTACCTGCATTGAATTTGCTTCTTTCTAACACTGAATGCAGTTGTACTTGGAAACACACACATGTACAACTATGGAAAGAAAAAAAAATAAAGCATTTTAAGTATACTCCTCTTAACCATTGTGTAAGCCTTGGCTGATATTGAAATAGAGGTAAAAAATATCTCTGCCAATAGCGGCCCTGTTTAATGTACGTGACTGAAGTGTCAAAACTTGATAAAGTCATTTCATTAAGGCAATTTAGGCTTGTTCTCTTCTCCTGTCCCCAAGAACTGTCTGGATGAGCGCAGGCACCCAAACACTCACGCGCCCACCCGTGTGTGTGCATGCACAAATCTGCAGAGCCAGGTGGTGTCTGCTCTGTGCGATTTTTACCAACACAGGCTCCTTGCCTCATGTATTTGCTATTTGTAGGTCAGTACACTGCCAGGTCCCAGCCAAGATTTCACTGTGTTTGGTTCTCAATAGCTCTCAGGAAGTTGCTGGCTTGACCCTGGAGACTTTACAGTCTAATTTTTTAATAACTGAAGGATTTTTATTATTATTATTTTAAAAAGACACATTTTAGCTGCCTCGTAAGCATGCATTATAACCAAAGGCTTCAATAGGAGCTGCACAGACGTATCTGAGAGCACAATTAGGCCCTCTGGACCTTTTAAAGCTTCAAAAAATAGTCATGTGTAATTCCTTCTTCTGTGGATACTGCAAGCTTTAAGAGAATTTCTGAAAGCTGTAAATTCCTATTTAACCACTAAGAGGCTCACAGGCAATCTTCCCCTAATGGAAATAGAACTGTAAAGCCGAAACATTAATATACACAATATGATCCATTACGCAGGGATAGACTAGCCCGAGCCAATGGGAGGGCTGTGCTGCCGTGCCGTTACAGAGCCATAGCCAAACGGGTGAGCAGAGCCTGCTCGCTGGGTTCGGTATCTGATTTATATCAGCACTCTAAAGACGAAGAAAAAAAAGAAAAAAAGAAAAAAGAGAGAGAAAAAAATGCAAAAAATAAATGAATAACTACACAACGTACAACCTTTGAATCCCTCATCTGCATTGGCTGGCAGCTGTTATTGGCTAATGGGAGAGCACCGTTTGGTCTAAATACGAGCCAGCTATTCTTCAATAACGACGCTGTTAATATGCAAATCTCACTGCTCCGTCTACTGTAATCTCCCTCCGCTGATTGGCTTCTGTGATGAAAAAATTCAGGTTATTAGTTGGCAGACAAAATACACTCTCCAGGTTCCCCCTTAAGATGAAGCATTATAAAGCCTCGAGAATGTACATGCTAGAGACAAACAACAACAAAGCAAGACAAAAAGAAGCAAAGAAAATGGGATTAGAAACATGATAAAAGGGGGAGTTGTGCATTTAAAAATACTCCTGATTCTCTTTCTTCTTTCTAGCTTTCTCTTGGGACTTTTGTCAGTTACTATAGATAGGCCATTTTTGTTCTTTTTTTTTTTCAACTTTTCCCTCTTACAGATGAGGGTGTGCTTGGGTTCACAGCAACAGACTTTAATTTGTACCAAAAATGTAATTTTTGCACTAGAAGATATTCATGTGTCTGCCTTCATGGGCCAGCTTTGCTGGCCTGCCCACAGAATGTTAGGAAGAAATACATCACTATGCATTGGCGTGTATCTTGGTATTGAAAAGGTGGAGGAGGCAATTGAATGAGAGGCAATCTACAGTTCAACTCTTTAAAATCCATTCCAAAAAAAGCAACCACCAGTATCAGCACCTGTATAGACATATGTTACACAAAAGGCCAGACTTGGCCAACCACAAACCTTTCACCAAGAACCTTTTCTACAAGACAAGGAGCTGATAGGAACACTCACGCCAACCAAACTGTCAAGATCAGCATTTCATTTTCCATCAGAAAATATGGCATATATCCCAGTATGGCATACAAGAGTGAGATCTGTTCTCTGTTATACAGTATAGAAATTAAACACTTCCATTGATGCTGGTAGTGTAAATTCTGAGAATTTACAGAGAGGGATTGGGCTTGGGGATCTCCAAAGCCGACTTGCAGCCACACTGTTCCTCCCTCTTTGCTTTTGTTTTGTAGATCTTCCCTCATTCTTGCAATCCACCTCTCCTGACACATAGCACCTGACAGGCTGCATTGTCTTCAGTGCGGTACAGATGCGTCCAGCTCTCCCCCTTCCTTCCCTGAAGTGACAGATGAGATCAACCTATTAATTTCTCAGACCTCTGTATCTGCACTGAAATCACGGTCACAGTGAAATCCAAACAAATTTTGTCATTGATTTTGTAACAGCCCTGATTTTGCTTCGCAGGACTGGCAGCAAAGTATTTTTGGAGGACTGGACACTGATTCTAATTTCCAGATAGGAGACAGAAGGCCAGCTACTGCTAGTGTACAATGCGTGACCCTCCTCTTTCCTCAGGCGTTTTGCCAAGGGGAAAGGGCTGCGGGCTCAGCTCAGAGGAGACTTCCCACAGGGCTTTTGATTAATTTGCCATGAAAATAGGAGTTGTGTATACATATATATAAAGATAGATAGCAAGCCTGCTGCAGTTCAAGTAGCATTTGGACAACACTCTCAGACACATGGTCTGGTTTTTCTTTTTCATTTTTCTGTGTGTGTGTGGTCCATTAAGGACCCAGGAGTTGGACTCGATTCCAACTCGGATATTCTATAATTCTATGATTCTATGCCATGGAGCTGTTTTCCTTTTCTGTCTCACGTATTTCAGATGCAGAGATAATGGGAATAGCATAAGCAGAAATGGAGGCAGGTATCTGAAACTAAAGGTTAGAAGGAAAAGGTTTTGACAAGAACCACATAGGCTCTGCCTGAGCTTCCAGCTGCAAAGGTCAAACAATAAGCTTCAGACAAATTAATAGCACTTCAGCTACAGTAAAGGAACTTTAATATTTCAGTTTCAGTAGAAAGCCTGAAAAATGTAAAACGCAATTCATTTATTTTTCTGAGTGTTTTGTTGTTATTATTTTTTTTATTTTTCTGAGTGTTTTTTTTTTTTTTTTCTTTCCCAAGTGGTATGACCATTTCTTTCCAATATATATTAGGATCCTCATTTAATAAATAATAATAAAGCTAGTTAGTAATTAACTCTTAATTGTGCTCTCCCTGGTATTGCTCTAGGGGAAAAAAAAAAAAAGGGTCCACATGCTTCAGCGGGCAGAGCTACAAACACATCCAACCAGATAATTGACACAGCCGTTGAGCCAGCACAGTGTTAACTCTCTTTTAAGCTTCCTCAAATCATCTAGCTTTAGAAACCATGTAACTTAATTGGATTGCTACAGACCTGACAGTTCCCCACGTACTGTACGCTAACGGATTGCATCGTTACTGTATGATTGGATGCTGTCAGCTCTGAGACCTGTTAGGCACCGTCACCAGCTTGTCTTTCATCTTCCGATCGCCATCACTAAGTGAAAACAGCAATAATAATCTGGAAAATTTAATTTGGGGAAATTTAAAACAACCACCCACCCAGAAACAGCAGATATAGGCCTACCCTCTCATCCGCGGTCACGTAGGGAGTTCTCCACCACGTGCCCAATCCTGCTGAAACTCCAGTTAACTCAAGGAGGCTCATCAAAAGAATAATCAAAAGAATAAAAGAATTAAAATTCTTTATCACAAGAGTTACTTAGATGAGGAAAGTCTGCTGAACAAGGCCTTTATAATCCCAAAGGGGAAAATATGAGGGCAATTTACAAGGCAACACTATCTTTGCTCGCTAAACACTGTTAGAGAGACAGAGTGGATAACAGAAGCTAAACAGCAGCTTGACAAATTCCAAAATGCAATTTCAGTTTCCACCTTAATGAAGCAAAAGTTAATACTACCTGTAAGTCGGAGATGTCCTCGAGGCACAACTGACAGGTAGGTGCCAAATTGTCATTTGCCTGTGAGGACTAGATACATCTCCACCATTGTCGTCAGTGCACACCTCCCTCACTTCAGAGACCTCCTGAAAGAGAAGATTGGTGTTCTGGCCATCATACTGTCTCTTTTCTGCTGGTTTCCTGAACACCCATTACACTTCAGCACTGTTGTGCTCGTTTTGTAACATGGGCCTTCATTGATTAGGCACCCAAAGCAGACGTAATCTTTGTTATTAACCCTTGCAGGGGCTATCTAGACATTATTGCTGGTGGGGGGGAGGAGGGTTACAGCACTGAAATCACCAAGCTGCTCAACCTTTCCCATGTAAACATCAATAAATGATGAGTTAAGCTGCCAATGATCATTTTATATACAAGTGTCTGATTTTTCAGCAACAACTATATACAATTTTGAAAACAGCCAAAGGTATGTATTCTGAAAGAGCCCAGTCCAGTAGGCTGGTCTTAATGTGTTCTGTGTGCATTTCATTTATTTATTTATTTATTTATTTATTTTGGTGGGGGGAGTGACATTTTTTGTAATCAGTCAGAACCAACAGCTACTCAGAAAATGATGTTGCCTTTTCCAAACACTCTTCTCTGAGGGCAATATTACCATTGTTTCAGCAAAACCACCTCTTCTTTTTGCCTTAGGTAGTCATTGTGCAGGGAGAGTGGATAGGCTGCTAAATAAATATTTATCCCAAGCTATACCATTTTTTAAGTTAAAGACGCAATCTGATCTAACTTGTTTGTAAAGACCTTCCTGAGGGAGACGAGCAAATCCCTCTGCTGTTCTTTGTCATAACCATATCACTACGTAAAGTTTCCACAAGCCACTGACTATTGATACAGTCTATCCAAAAAGGCTGCAAACCTTCATCAAACAACCCTTAAAGTAAGCAACTCTTACCCCCAACATTGAAATTATGTGTGGTAAATAGTCCAGAAGGAGAAGAGATCCTGATTTTGTCCTACTTAGTTTAGCGATCACTAAAATGCAGCCACATCTGGGTGGCTCTTCAACAATACCCAATGGTGCTATACAACATGATGATCGGGAATGGAAAATAAAGACTAATGTATTCAGCTGAAACGGCAACTGAAATTTACATAGGCAGAATATAATTACCTGAATTGGCATCTTGCCAGGACACTGGGGTTAACATTATTACTCCTACAATACTCCTATTTATGGGCAATATGGAAAAAAAAAAAAAAAGTAACAACAGGATTTTTTAATTGAACCAGTGTGAACCCAACTACAGTAGGTTGCAGACCAATTAAAATTGACAGACCAGTGAAGCAGATACACATAACACGTAGATAAATATAGAAAATCCAAATTGTTCTCTTTTTCTTTGTCTTCTCTTGATGTATTTTCCACTGGATATTTCATTTCATTTTCTTAATCTTTTGATGCCAGGAAACTATCATTGACTGGAAACACTTACCAGCTTTTAGCAGACAGTTTTCATAACTTAAAATAAAGATGGAAAAATATATCCTGTTAAATGTTTCAGCATTGCATTTCTTTCCTTTTCTACTGCACACAGTATTAAAATTACATTGGCTGTGCAGCAGGAGATTAGAAAGAGCAACTGCTTTTAACCTTTAATAGTAAATGATGCTGAAGCCACTAAATCTGTCTTTGGAGCACACACTCTGCACATACTACCAATTGGAAACTTGTGGCTAACTGACAAGCAAGCAGACTGATCCCCTATCAAAAATGTTGCAGAGGTTAACTCCGGTAAAGCAAAACCACTTTCTTTTTTTTTCTTTGTCTTCCAGGAAAAAAAAAAAAAAAAAAAAAAAAAGCTTGAAATGGCATAAAATATATTACCCTGTTTAATCCTGGTTCTGCAGTCTTTACTCACCTGAGTATCTATTTCTCTGACAAGTCAAACCACACAAACACCCACTGAGGTCAGTGTGACTCCTGGGGAATTAATATTCCCTATCTGACAGAGGTGTTGTGAGGCATGCTTCATTAGTGTTCGGAAGCACTCTGAGAGCCCTAGATAACAGCTGCTATACGTTGTAAGAAAACAGTACTATTCATATTCAACAGAAGAGCTACACCATGTACGTAATTGACCATTGCCTGAATCTTTTCCGAAGTCATTGGGTTTGGAGATACGCCTCAAAGCAAATCTGTTATTTAACAGAATAGAGAAAGTAAAGAAACATCGCGGTATTTTTAAGAGGAAAGCAGAAGAAAGCTCCCTTGGGCTGTATCCTATTGACCTCTGGTTCCGTTATTGTTTCTAAAATGTTTTTCCATTTAAGGCATTGCCACTGCATCCTTCCCAGGAAGGCCTGGGAAAGGATATAAAGTGAGGTCTCTACTAAGCTTCTAAGTAACATCTCTAAAAATGGAGGGTTGCTTTATCTTTTACTGTCAACCAGGTTTAAGGGGGAAAAACCCTCCAGGCTTTGGTTATGAATCTTCTATAATATAATAAATGGTGCCATCTACTGGTTCTCTTTTGCTTTTGATCAGTATCAGGGTTTGATCGTACGGTACAGCTACTGCAAGTAGCATTAAAACACCAAAGAAATCAAGCCAACATCACTGTAGCTAGCATACTTCCCGATAATGGATCTTGGAATGATTTACAGGGGTTTCCGTAAAGCAAACAAGTCCAAAATGAAATAAGAGCAGTAGGAGAAAGAAAAATGACAAGATGCAAGCAAGGGAGAGAAGGCAGCATTCCAGCAGACGTGAAACTGGATGAAGGGTCGATATTGAAGACAGATTTAGCTGAGAGTGAGCTAAACTGAACCAGACACAGGCATCCCATTGGACAAATCAGTGAGGACACTCCTCAGAGACAGGAGGAGAGCTTCTCCAATCCCTCCCAATTAATTTTCTTTCGGAAAAAGAACAGCTGATCACGTTGTTTTTTTCCTTCCACCCACTCCAGTTTCTACTATTAAGCGAAGAAGAAAATGTAACCAGCCCTGACAGAAGAAATATACACATAGACATAGAAGTTATAGGTCAATTTCTTTCTCGGAGCTCAATATTTTTCCCTATTTACACCAGGAATGAGAATTGACTCTCTGACTTATGCCTCAGAGAGATATATGAACACTGTCATACATTGTCATCTTTTTAACTAAAAAAGGGTAGGTTTAGATTGGATGTAAGGAAGAAATTCTTCACTCAGAGGGTGGTGAGGCACTGGCACAGGTTGCCCAGAGAAGCTGTGGATGCCCCATCTCCGGAGGTGCTCAAGGCCAGGCTGGATGGGGCTTTGGGCAACCTGGGCTGGTGGGAGGTGTCCCTGCCCATGGCAGGGGGGTGGAATTAGGTGATCTTTAAGGTCCCTTCCAACCCCAACCACTCTGTGATTCCATGATTCTACTCTTAAACTAAGTGATCTTGGCACCACTTACAGGGCTAAACAGGTATCACTGAGTAAGGGAACTGGTACAGAATACTCTTTATTTGTTGTTACTTTTAATTTATCTAGGTAATTTGCTTGAAAAAAGCAAAATCAGCTGTAGAGCTATTTTAGTCCTATTTCCTAAGAAAAAAAGAGACTAGTGCAATCACAGCATCTGGCAAAGGGGAAGCAGTATCAAAAATGCACAATTTTGTCAAGTGCTTCATGAAAAGCATAGTGGCTTTTAGTACTTTAGGGAAAAGCACAAGGGGAAGCTCTTTTCAGGCATCAGACAACCCTGCCAGATGCAAATCCACAGAAAGTATTCTCCTTCAGTTCAGCTCCTCATAAAATACTTGCATGTCATGACAGTCTTCACCTGCTAAGAAGCAGATAAGCAGGACTGGAAGGAAGTGTAGATTATCAGGGCTTTCATTGTTGCAAATGTAACCCACATCAGAACAAGTTGCAGCTTTTGGGGCTTCAGTTTCATCTCCTGTTAATGGAGACCCTACTTATCTGTGTCTTGTGGAGTGCTTTTAGTCTTTAAAAGTACGAAAGATCATGGACAGCATGCCCTGTAGATTTCTCCATTCCTGAATGAGAAGTGCAAAGAGAGTCAGCAGCTCTCCTAGCCCATCTCCAACCCTAGAACCTAAGTTAAGTGTTGGAGTTGTGCTGGAAAAGACTGGGAGCTCTAGAGTTGCTGTGGAAAGCCCTTTAAATGAGCTGGAAAGTAAAATCATTATGCTTCGAAGGGGGAATAAATTACATTTTTATTCTGCCACATGTTTTTCACAAAGATTCTTTCAGAATAGGTCCCATGGGTCCCTGTATTCCCCAAGCTTCTGGGATATTTTTCATTTAGCTGTACAGAACTTCTCTCCAGTGAAATGGCCTTCAGTCCTTTCAAATCTGAGGATCTTTTAGGCTAACAGAGCAGATATTTCCTTTTCTCAGCAACCTTCATAGATCCTTTAGAAGCGATCCATGGGCCCCCAAGAACCTGTGAAAGACAAGATGAAAACTCTATTGCCACGCAAGTAGTCAGAGCTTTCAAAAGGATGTAACAGGGCCACAAAGAAGGTTATGTCAATAATAAATGGCATTTACTTTGTGCATGCAGACCCAATCTAACAGGCTGTTTCCATATTGATAGGAGAAGTGTATGTGCACATTTTCTTCTTGTTTCATTTAGTTTACCCAGTAGTTAGTGGGCTGATAGCGCAAAGATGAAGTTCTATAGATTTAGTAACCCACTGGATAAAGGGTCAGTTTTGTAGCAGACTTTCACCAGTCTCAGTTCAAGACTTAATGATTCTTACCTAATGAAGATGATATCATCATCTGGTCCCTCCAACCATGCAGGGCTGTTTCTGACACAGTGTGGGTGTGAAAGAGTAAGAGCTCTCTTTTTGGCACCACCTCTAAAAGATCTTAAATAGATCTCAACTAGTCTGTGGTGGTCTCTTGAACAGTATTAAGAGAAGAGGGCCAGCCTCAATAAGAAAGGCACTGACAAGACTTCCGTTCTTCAGCTCTTATAACAAGTTCTCAGGACAATGTGTGACATTGGAGAAATTGACTGCAGCTGCTGTGCATGAAATCCAAGGCTTCCAGTTCAATTCTTGGCTCCAGGAACAGGCAGGAAGCAAGCACGAGTCTAGGCAGCAGATGGGGACATTGCTAATTGGTCTCTTTTGATGCTGGGCCATCCGCTAACAGACACCTCACACTTCTCTCTTAGCCATGATTTGCCATGTCAAAGAGCTACAGATACGGAAATGATAACAAAGAAAATGAGAACAGCAATCACTTCAGAGCAGACAATCATTTATCCTCCACCGTGCCAAACAAATTAATTGCAGAACTTTGCGAGGCAGCTTGAACTCACAGATGCATGCAAGTGATTCATCCTTCTTACAGTGTCAGGTGGTAAAGTTGTTGTTACATGAGTGCCGTCACTTCTGATGCATTTTTGCTGCTTTCTTCAAAAGCCTGGTGAGCATTACAAAACAAAACTAGAATGGCTTACAGCACATGGGAGAAATACACTGGGGGGAAACTAATACGAGAGCAGCGGTTCTTAAACAAGGGATCAGTATTTGTGCGTGTGACAAAAGTTTTATTGAAAAAGTAGGATTCACAACCAGAAGCAGGAACAAAAGGCTGTAGTTGCAACTGGAAGGGAATTCAGGAACACATTGGAACCAGTGAAGAAGTTTGGGAACTGTTCCATTAAACTGTTCCAGTTTAAATAGTGGCATCAGATTACAACCTTTGTTATGTAGAAGTGCTACTCTAACACTTCTCCAGAGATTACTGGCTATAAATCTTAGTATTTTTGTGGTAACAGTTGTGGCTTTGTCTTCTGCAATGTTCTTGCCATATTTTACATGCTCTAGGACAGTAAATGACAGCTATTATATTGTTCTGGGCGAGGAAATGTATCACAGATTCTGTGTCCCTCTCGCTTTTGAGCATAGTTGCTAAGTTTTCTGTCTTTTAAGGATTTTATTTTTTCTTAATTTTAAATAAAAATTAAAGGAAATTAAACTGCAACACTGTCTACAGGCCATCCATTTACAATACAGTAAAATAACCAAAATGATTTTGAATGGAAGGGACATAAAATGTCTTCTGTGACCAGTGTCTAAAAAGCTCTCTATTTGGATCTGTTTAATTACCTCAATTGGAAAAATGTCACCCTCTAGAGGGCCAAGTTTCAGTCTGTCATTGTTGGTGGATCCATATATTTCTATGTACGGGAGGTCATGAGGCCAATTTGTCATTGTTGGTGGATCCATATATTTCTACATACAGGAGGTCATGAAGCCAATTCAGTAGAGTACCTCAACACAAAAGGTAATTTAAAATTTAAGAGCAACTGTTTTGCCCTAGCTTTTCTGAATGTCACCACCTTTATTCCTGACAAACACATTGAAGAAAGTCTGCTCTCCGTGGTATTTTTGATAGCAAGTGACCAGACAGATAGGGGTAACCAGACACCTATCTGGTGATTGAAGTGACCAGAAGATTCAATAAAACAAATAAATAAATAAACATAATAATAAATAAATCCATAATAAATAAATATATCATATATAATCCATAATAAATAAATAAACATCAAGGACCAGTCTATGGTATTATTACTAATGTGGTGCTATTGCACATATTCCTTCACTGCCACTATAATGCTCAAGGATGGCACCATTATAAGATAACATTTGGAGGGGCGGGTTCACATCTGCCACCTAATATAAATACAGTGACCTGAGATTTGTTCTCAGTATTCTGTACAAGATACAAGCAACAACACAAGGAGATGCAGGTGTAGCTTTCAGAAACTTTCTCATGTGCCACCTGCTCCATGGATTGCTTTCCTGTATGCATTTTCCACCTACTTAAGACGAATTCTTTGCAGATACACATAGAAAAAGTAAATACTAAAAGCCTAAAAGCAAAAGACCCATCTCCACCCTCTAACATCAGGCTAAGCTTTGAGTAAATACAAGCACCCTGAGGAGACCAAAACAAGAACCTTGTAGCATCCATAGAACTTTCTTGTTTTACTTTCTCCAGATCACTGGCTAAAGTAGTCTTTCTGTGGCCCTCTCTAATAGCTTCACATCTTCCTCAACAGCTCATCCAATTTGCACCATCAATGCAATTTCTAAGCCCTGAACATATTAACATGCTCAACAGAGCTTACCTATTTAATGTTTAGGCCTCCATTACAGAGGGAAAGAGACAACCACCTCCATGTGGCTTTTAGTTACCAAAAATAAGTGGCTAAGATATACTGAGTGAAAATAGTGGTCTTATTTACACCAGACACACATGGCTAGAAATTAGGAATTTGCATACATGCCCTATGTTAGTTGAAAGAGTCTCATTAGATTTCATTAGTCCAACTGAACGTAGATTAGTTGGTTCCCTCTACAGTGCATGGAAAAAGAATGAGTCACATCCCCAGGGTGATTCATGCTACCTGGGACCATCATCAGTATCAGTATGCACATGACTAGTATTTTTTCCTCAGTCCAAGAAGCCTAGATGATTAGCTTACATCATCTAATATTTAGATGTTAATTATTAGACAAGACAAATTCCAACACAGTCAACTGGAGCATCTCTGCAGAGAGACATCACTGTGGGACAATTCTGTTTTCCTAGAGCATTTCATCAAAACCTTATTTGTGGAGAGGATAAATCATCTTTTTAAGGTACTTGTCTTTTGCACAGAAAATCTGTGCTACTTGTTTAGATGTTTGGTATGGTTAAGGTTAGGCAAGAAGAGTCACACAGCGATTTAGCAAGCTTCTCTGCAAGTGGTCCCCTGCCTTGCTGTGCATTCCTCTACTAAAAGTCTCTTTTCCATTCTGGTGAGGGGAACTGATCAGCTAATACAACATCCAAATGCAGGCTGTGGAGGGAGATGGTTTGCAGACAAATTACTTGGAACTCCACCACTGAAGAACTGCGTGAGTGTATCTACTAAGGAACATCATTCCCAGTTGGTGTTTATTAGGCACATCTGCAAAAGGAAGAGAATTAACAGCCATGAAACAGACCATTCACTTTCATGACCACTAAAACCCCACTGAAAAAGTGCTCCCACTTGGCTATTGATTCAGCCTAATTGTTAGGTTAAACAAACATGTCCTGAACTCCGTCCTAGAGATGACTGTCATACATGGGGGAGGAAGAGATAAAGGGAGTACGCATTTCATGCTAACCATTTGGACTTAATAGCCAAAATTTCACTTTTGTTACCTCTAGCAAGTATGCTTCATTTTCCATTCAGGAGAGAAAAAAAAAATCTCAACAAGTGTATTTCCAATCAAACATATCATCAGAATTCTCTGCTTTTGTATTGCACATTTCTAAACTCTAATTTTAGTATACTAGCACATGTTTTCTGTTAACAGATCTTCTCTTTCTCATTTATACTTAACCTTTTATACATCATTAATTAAAGTTGTTAGCATCACAATATGTCTGCTCTTCATGCATTCCATTGCTTCTAAAAACAATGTTGCAATGCTGTTTTTCTTATCTGCTGCTCTTTTATGCTTTTCTGACAGCTTTTGTGTTGTCCATGTCCCAATGTACATTATTTTCCATACTTACGTATTAAAAGCAAACATTATTATACTAAATGGTATCAGAAAATTAAAGCATCTGGGAAATACACTAATGAAAGTTCAAAACTGCCTTTGTACAAGAAAATTAGCACTCTTGATGGTCTAATAAGCATGGTTAAGAATGTCTCTGATGGCAATAACCTGAAAAGTAGTCAAAGTCCCCTGTGCCATCCGCTACTAATATAATATAACGCCAAGAAAGAAAAAAAAAAAAAAAAAAAAAAAAAAGTAAGCATTGAGGGGAAAAAAAGCAAACGTCACAAAGCCACTCAAATGGAAAACAAGCTATTTACAGATGTCTGGGCAAGAGGAAGGCAAAGTGAGTTTGATTCTGTTTTAAAAGTGATGACTAAACTAGCCACAGGTGTAACTGGGAGTGTATGGTTCCTATTTCAACTTCATGCTTATTAAAGTGAGTGGAGTTAGACTAAATAAAATCTGCAGCAAATAAGCAACTGAACTATTAGGTCCCACTTTTCAACATTCCTCCCCTCCCCCCCAAATAAATCAATAAAAGAAGAAAAAAAGCTTTGAAATAATTAATATGCTTTTGAAAATGCAATAAGTATGTTCTGTAGCTGCTTTTTAGGTATAATTCTTAAGAACAGAAGGAGTTGAACCCACCAAAACATTGTGATTGCTACTATAAAAACTGAGGTGTGTTATGGTGATTGTAATGAGTTACTTTTGATGTCATACTTTGATTCCTCTGTGAATTGTGAGGTGTTCCTTTGTTGTTTTATGAGTGCTAATTGCTGCAGAGCTGTGTTAAATCATTGCTATGCTGTGTGTTTTTTTTTTTTTTTTTTTAGCAGCAGGATGGATACTTGAATAATTACAAAGGAGTAGTTCATTAAAATGGGTTTGGCTATAGCAATGAGATTTTCCAGCAATTCAGTGAGGGTGTGTGTACAGCCATGCAAACAATCTGTTGAAAAAAATTCTCTTCCTACCTAGATCAAATCTTTTGTGCACTCGGCTTTTCTCAGAGGTAGGAGAGGAAACGACAACAATTGCACAGGGCTGACTTTCTTCTCCACATACTACTGTAAGAATCCTGATATTATTCAAAAGTCCTGCTACACAATTCCTCTACTATTACAGATAACTCACCAGAACTCAAATTCTGTTCCCTGTCTGTAAAAAAGAGATCTCAAGTGTGTTAGGGGTGTAGGAACTGAAGAACAGCAGGGTCTGAACACCACTGAAGAGCAGAATAAACTTGTAATGTAAATGAGAAACTCTCTTCCATTTTGGACTTTCAAGCAATTTCTTTTCTGGTGCAGAAGATGGCAAAATGTTGAGTCCCGTGATGGCTGAATACACTTATGCCATTAGGTCACACAACGAAGGAGTACCTGCAGCGTTGAGCTGCAATAGGATCTAGGTGCTACCTCCATAACTACCATACTCATTACATTAAAAAGCAGCTACTGCACGCTGTGAAGAAGCATTACAGGTGCCATGAGGACAAGAGAGAAGTTCCATGGGAAATTGAACATGTAAGCCAAATAAATCTCACAGCTTGGTTTAAAAAAAAAAAAAAATAAAACAATTTAAAAGAAAAAAGAAAAAAAAATAATTAAACAAAAAACTTATCTAGTGAGATTCTGCTAATATCCATAGGGTCAGCAACAGGATTGATACTTGAGTTCTTTTGCACAGATCTCTTATCTCTTATCTCATTGCTTCAAGTAATAAGACACTGACAGTGACAGTTGTCTGTAATTCCCCAGTGCCTGGAGCAAGATGAGATTATCTGCAGAAAGTGGAGGTTTATTCAGACAGGAACCTCACATTCCACTACGGGCTCTGTAGTATAAAATGAACACAGGCCGATGTACTAACTGTTCTCCCTTCCCCAATTTCTTTCACTTCCACTCATTGCAAACTGTGTTTTTTACTTACATTTCCAATTTCATCCTCATTTTGAGGAACCACTCACCTTATTTCTGGTCATTAGGTACTAATTTTAAAAGTCTAGTTAAAAAAAGAACTAGATTTGAAATTATCTCTGATGCAAGTATTATTGGCAGCTGAGATGGCTCACGCGACTGGGATGCTAAAGAAATTTAGTTAAAATTTCTTTTGGGAAGAGGTGACAGTTGTGAATGATGCGGCGATAGCACTACGAAGACACTCCTACCTGGTGTGTATATCCTAATAATTCAGAAACTAATTAATAATGTGCTAAAAAACAAAAGACAAGAAGAGACTACAGCAGAAGTGAAAAAGGAAGAGTCTTTATAAACCATATCAGAATTACTTCTTATGGCTTGTCTGTGGTAGGAGGCAGAATGCAGGAAGCGATTGTCTTGCCATGGGAGAATTCAATCTCAGAAATGTAGCGTGGAGGTCACACAACTTATTAAAGTTTCTAAAATTATGCCTTGTGATCCTTTAACACAGAAAGTATTACTGCTCTCAATACAGGGTAACTCAATTATGGGTCTCACTGCGATGGATAGAGCTGTATTAATTCCTGGCCTTGAGTCGGTGAGGGATAACTGGAGATGATAGATGGGATTTATGTCATGTAATTTTAATTATCTACCAGGGGTTTAGATCTAGTTGCCCTGGACTCCTTCTGCAGGCAACAGAGGGAAATAGGCAGTGCTAGAAGGCAAGTCATGACACCTATCTTAGAGCCTGAGGCTGTTTCATCTCATCTCATCTCATGTTAGTTATCCAAAAGTTAGATCTCTTCCCATACAAATTCCCTTCACAGTCAATGCAAGGGGCAAGGCACCACCAGAATGTGAGTTATTACACTTCAATAGATGTATAAAAGAGGCAAGGTGAATCCCCTCTACGGTAATTGATGCTGCAAAATGGCTAAATTCCCTTGGCTGATGAAAATTGTGAGAGAAGTTGACTGGGGAAAAGCAGATAGAAAAAGGCAAATGAAAAATGAGAGGTCTATAACACAAACTAAAAAGGCGCTGAAAAAGCAAAGAGCACTCCACCAAGAAGGATGAAATCTTGAGCTAAAAGCCTACTCTGGTTCACTGGCAAATGGAAATAGATGTTAGAACCAGCCACCCACTGCTCCCCAGCGTAACATATGGAAGAGGTCCATCAAACGCAATAAATAAATGAGAAGCTTAAAGCCCGGGAAATCAATAGGGAAAGCTAGAGTAATACAAAATAAAATATATGGCCAGCAGTAAGACAACAAAGGGCAAAAAGAAGAAAAATTGAGCACTTACTAATAATGTTGTTATTGGCTTAAGGAGCTTGGATACATCTTACCTAACTTTAGACATCAAAAGAATATAGTTATTTATTTACATCTGAACTAGTGACCCTTCACTCCCTTTACACTCAGCTGGAAGAAATTAAAATTTTGGTGGCATGATTCTTGTCATCCTAATCCAATCATGTAAAACACTTCAGATGAAACCCCCTCTTAGAAGTGCTTTTTATTCCCTCTGTGACTATAAAGGAAGAACCAACAGATACAATTGAGAAAAAACTTGAGATACCCAAGCTCTTCTCCACTGAAATGATTGCCTGGCTTTCCATATATATTAATTAACCTAACACAGATGCATTAACAATTAAAGAAGTCTAAGCAATGGCATGAACTCATAATTTGATAGAGACGGTAATATTTTTAGTAGAGATGCACAAAAGGTAGGTAGTGTATTTGCACTTCACCAGAGCATGATGTTCTGATCCTTTACTAGTTGTGACAGATATGACAAAACCTGAGGGTAAAATGTTAATTGTAGATAACTTTTATCCAAGTTGACCGAGGTGGCTACTGGCCTATTGATGTAAATTTTGTATTAATGCTACAATGTTAGGATTCAATAGATTAGAATTCTGTGTCAATATTAAAAAAGAGAAAAGTGATTAAAATGGATAACTAGATGCTGGTTAGCCTGAAAGAAACTACCCACCAAAAAGCCTCTGCCAAAGTTCAATCCTTTGCCCCAAAGCACATAGCCATAAAATAAAAACATTTTAATAGGGGTAAGCAACAGAATGCCTGTGCTGGTTCTGGGCTTATCTCACAAAAGATAGGCATTTAATTGAATCTTTTAAATTAAGGGTAGTTGCACTCCATCCTTTTGTAGTGAATGAAGCCAGACCCTGCCACAGGGCACACAAGAACTGAATCAGCTGTGGGATGCCTTTCTCTTGTCAAGTATATGGGGAGCCTCAAGCGATGACATTCATACCTCATGTTTAAGCTTTCCAGAACACTGACCTTGAGACAGAAATGCAGTTTCAGGCCAAAAGATTCAGCCCAAAAGATTAGGCAGGGTTATTTAAGAAGCCTGGAAACATGGGTTTATAATATGTTGTAAATCCGTAACTACCAGCCATAGGCAGTTTTAGTCAGCTGTAAAATTTTTTTAGGGCACCTAATCTTTTTGAAATGCATTTTTCAAGAAACAGCAGGGAGCCAATGGCCTCAAACAGAACAGTTTTAAGAAAAAAAGTGACCTAGGGAAAAGTTTTTAGAGGATCGCTTTTAGCACACACACACACACAAAAACATATTAATGTCTTTTAAGGGGAAAAAAAAATGAAGTGCATTTTTTTCTATTGTATTTTGCATTTTAACTCAGATTAGAACAGAATGTCTAGGAAAATTTGGCCAATTCTTCTTTTATAACCAGACCAATAATTAAGTATAAATCCAATCCTTTGTCTGTTGTTTTCAGTAGTACAAGTTAGAATACTCACCATCTCCCTTTCATCCTATTTTTTGAGAAATAGAATAGCATTTAGGAGTATTTATAATGCTCTGTAGAAATATTTACTTCCGCGTTAAATATTTATCTTCAAATCACAAGCACGAAAGGTGCCTTTACTGTGTAAAAATACATTTCTCCACTAGAGGGAACTATTAGACCTGATTGCTGAGGGGAAAGGCTGCATTTCAAATTGATGGTGCTGGTTCCACCACAAAGAAGTGTTGGTAACTTCACTGAAAACGCTGTGATTTATTACGTTGATACACTGTAATGTGCAGATGATTGCAAACCAAAAAAGCTTTTGAGTGGCATTTAGTCAATAAGCACTGAATATGTGGTGTATGATATCTAAATAAAAAGAGAGATTGAGAAGCTTGTTTCTCTTGGAAAGATTTAGAGATATTACTGAAATACGTAAAGCCAGACCATGTTCAATGAGAAGATACTACAGAATGTAGAAGCACTGAGGTCATTTCCTAACATGGGTAACCCCTCTGTTCAACACAGAGCACTGTCCTCTGCTCATTATTTTGGAAACCCATTTTCAACTAGAAGTGTATTTAGTGACACAATAAAACTGTCTCCTCTGTTATTTCTTTCTTTCCTCCAGATTGTGGAATGCGCAATGGGAGTATCCTTCTTTGGAGGGCTAGAGAGAGTAGGGATTTTGCTTGTTGATCTTGCTTTGTCCTTTGTAGATTGTGGTTTGTGGGTTTTGTTTGTTTGCTTGCTTGTTTTCATTTTGATAGGTTGCTACACGTTGCTTCCTCTAAATGCTAGAAAAAGCAAAGCGAAAGAATTGAGCTTAGCACTTTTAAGTGGGCTGTGAACTGTTTTTGCTACATCCACATTTCCGGGGAAGTGTGTTGCACTGCCTCTGAAAACCTTTCTGCCTCCTGCAAAGCAGACAATTAAAAGACAACTATTTCAGCACTGCTTGGAATTCCTCAAGAATTCCCTGAACTGCCTCGACATGACTCAAAGCTACACGCTGCAGCTGCAAATATGATCCTTTTAATGAAGGATCAAATAATTACTTTGATAAAGATATATCCGTGAATTTTAGAAAACTGGTTAATTCTGAAAGATTTTTTTCAGCCTTACATTGATGCATGGTGCAGCCACAATTCTTCCCCCGAAGCTTCACGTATGAACCACAGCAGAAGAGCAGGCACTGCATACTGTCACAGCCTCACGCACATGGCTCTCTGAAAAAGTGTCCTCTGTTTTGATGACCAAAGTAAATTCTGCACCAGAGGCAAAGCAACATAACATCGGTGACCGTCTCCAGCCCACCTTCCCTTTTCTGTTGTTTACTGAATGTAGCCTTGATGGGAACTCGATGATCTTAGCAGGTATTTTTCATATTTTCTAATACACTTCCTCTGCTTCAGCACCAGAGGTTGTTGCTGGGTCACGTGAAAGGGTTTCATGTGGGGTGTCAGCTTACAGCATGGGGAAATCCTTCCCTTTAGCACCCATCCATACACATTCCTGCATCATGTGACATGATCAAAAAAAAAAAGAAGGCTGTATTATTTCCCTGTTGTGTGGAGTTTCGGTGGTATTTTCCTACTCGTTTACATTATATCGTTGGAATCGATCACCAGTTTCCTCAAACTTTTGCTAAGTGGCAGGTAGGACTCACCGGTTGGTAAGTTTTCTCACACTCTTCTTAACATGCTTGTTGCTGCTTGCTGTTTGTTTTGCTCTTCAGAGTGGGCAGTCACTCCTCTTCCTTCTGCCTGCAGAGCACCAAAGCCCAAAGTTCCCGTCTTAGCCCCACACCCATCCTCGGAAATGATTGATATGGGGTTGGCAGCATGCTTCTGTGCTGGGAGCTGGGAGAGCCTTATGTAAAGAGCACAAAGTGCATTCACTGAGCTATTCCCCGAAAATCATGAATCATTCTCCTACTGTCTGTGTTTGCTCGTTAAGGGGAAAAAATGCCCTGAGATCAAGCTACTACTGTTCAACATCACTGTACCAAGAAAAATCCGCCTCAACAGGCTTCCAGGATTTGCTGGAACTAGACACTTTTATAGAAAGCTGCATATATTTCCTTTTTCATATCTTGGATAGAATGCTAATAGTTTAGAGAAGACAGTAATTTCTATTTCCCTGTTTCTGTTGATTTTTTCCCTGATGAGTTTTCTCCTGGTGAAGCAGAATTCACTAGTAAAATGTTTGTGCCTTTCTTATTTTTATTATCTATCTGTTAAATATTACAATTCTAAATTTGGAATGCTGCACATGGGAAAATCTGTAAATGCTGTGCGATACAAAGTTCTGTTTAATCAGAAGTGTGCCAAATGCATTTCATCCTGTAAAAACTTATTCTTAGCACACTAAACAACCAAATGTACGTTTCAGCTGTACTCAGTGACTAAACTACAAATTCAGTGAAGATAGACAACAAAGCCTCAAAGATGAGAAATGAAATTTGCTTAGGTGTCCAGGTAGTTGAATTAAACACACAAATAGTATGTTTATGTGGGATAAGAGCCCTCAGCTGGCATTTAACTGGGATGGTGATGCAGGATGACATTAGCAGTTGGAGCTTATATCCTCTAACAAGTTATTTCAGGGAGGGAACAGATTTTTTGCAACACGGTGGCCTTCATACTACACAACACTTGTATGTAAGAGTTCATACTCTATATGGTTGGAAAGGCAAAAGTAAAATGGATTAAGGACTGACTAACACATTCCCACAAACAATTGTCAAAGAAGGTCCAATATATAAGGGGGTATTCACACTAGGACTCTGCAGATATATTCATTAGGACCAATACTAGTATTTTTATTTGATACGGAATATAAGATAAACTTAGTTCCAATATAATTTGTTAATGACACAAAAATGAGAGAACGGTTGTAAATAGCATAGACATACACAGCAAAATAAAATGGTTGAATTTTATCTATATTTTGTGGCAAGAAAGCTGAGAAACACATTTGATAGCTGAGATACCTTAAAAATATTAAGGACCCCAGTAAACAAGAGCATGAGCTTTCTTGGGAAGAACAGAGTCAAAAGGAGTATAATAACGTTTAGGCTTTGGATGATAGGAAAGTCTATGTAGGAGAAGGAAACCTTTCCTCTGCATAGAGCTAACAGGAGTATTATATACACTTCACGTGTTCACCTTTGTTAAATGATTCTAAACCAGTTAAAAAGATGTGCAAATAAGCATGGAAGTTTCAATGAGATACTGAAATTTACTGAGAACAGGTTATAAAAATAACACAACAACAACAAACAGGTAAAATGTAGGCCTAAGTTATTTACTAAGTTATTTATTTTGATATTAATGAAATGTCTTGGAAGTGTGTTGATACAGAGAAATTGCTTATTACCCAGAGAAATAATAATGAAAATTTTTCTTGGTCAAAAAGAAAAATAAGGTGTGAAATTTTCATTAAGTTAGAAGGTTTGGATTGTTGTTTAGAGTAGTTTTAAACTGGTAGTAAAGCACACTGTCAAACTGTGACATTATAACCATGTTAACACAATAGTAAGCATCAAAGTAATTTCTGTTAATTTACTTTGTGTAGCTGCTAAGAAATGTATCTTCATGCACTGGTTGTTCTGGTACAGAAATCATTAGAAACTGACTGTGAAAGCAGGACAATGTAATGTCACCTTAATACCAGCAGGACAATGTCACCTTAATACCCTGGGTGAGAATTTTGGATATTGTACCTTTTTGGGGGAGATACATTAAGATAAAGCTTTCATTCAGTTTTGACAGTCAGTAACTTTGACAGGCTTGATCAATTTAATTCAGTAAGCAGACAGTGATTTATTTATTCTTTAATAATTTAATGGAGAGAAACTACCTGCTATAAAGTACACTTGCTTGACTGCATGGCTGAATAAATTCAAATTTGAAATGATGCTAAACAAATAAACAAAAAGAACAGTTAATAACTGAAACTAACAAACAGGCAGTAAATTCTCAAATTCTCTAGAGCCCTTTCTGGAAGATATGTATGAATCAAATGTTAGCTGTTTAGCTGTGTGTAGGGAAGACAGTTGTTATTGTTTCAGTAATATGCAGCATAAATGACCAGATAAAGTTCTGTTGGTGCTTTCTGGATGGACTTACAAGCAATGAATGAATGAGTCACATCAGAACAGAAAGGTAACTAAGATTAGGGGTAAATTTTCAGATGTCTCTGTCTTTGTTTAAAATAAATCAGATTTAAAAGTTTTAACCAATCAAATTATTCCTATCACATTACAGTTACTATAGCATAGGATATTGAGGGTTTTATTTCTCCAGTATTGTGTTAAGGAAAGTAGCCTGTTCCATAAAATCATAGAATGGCTTGGGTTGGAAGGGACCTTAAACGTTACCTAGTTCCTTCCAGCCCCCCTGCCAGGTTACCCAGGGTCTTCAACACCTTGTCACTGGTCTCCACCTGGACATATAGCCATTGGCCACCACTCTTTGGGTGCAGCCTTCAAGCCAATTCCTTACCCACTGAATGGTCCACCCTTTAAATCCTTCTCTCTCCACTCAGGAGATCAGGATGTCATGTGGGACTGTGTCAAAGGCCTTACAGAAGTCCAGGTAGGTGACATTGGTTCGTCTTCTCTTGTCAAATGATGAAGTCACTCCACCATAGAAGGCCATCAGATCAGTCAGACATGATTTGTCCTTGATGAGGCCATGCTGGCTGTCTCGTATTCCCTCCTTGTCCTGCACCTGCCTTAACATTGCTTCCAGGAGGAAATGTTCCATGATCTTCCCAGGCACCGAGGTCACAGGTCTGGGACTTCCTTTTGACCCTGATTTAAAAATGGGAGTGATGTTTCCTTTTTTCCAGTCACCAGGAACTTCTCCTGACTGCCAGGACTTTTCAAATAAGATGGAAAGAGGTCAACTCCATCAGCCCATGCAGGGCATCAGGCCCCACAAACTTGTACCTGTTCAGTTCCACCAGGTGGTCTCAAAGCTGCTCTTTGCTTGCAGTGGGAGGGACTTTGATGCCCCAACCAAACCTTGCCCAGAGGTTCTGTGATTCAAGATGCTGGAAGCCTGACTGGCAGTGCAGACTGAGGCCAAGAGGTTGCTGAATACCTCAGCTTTCTCCATGTCTGTTGTTACCTTTTGTCCCCTCTCACCCATCAGAGGGGGCACACTCTCCTTGTCCCTTCTTTTCTGGCCTACGTACCAAGAGAATCCCTTCCTGTCATTCTTTGCATTCCTTGCTAAGCTCAGTTCCATCCATTCTTAACCTCTTTAGTCTTAACCTCCAGTCTTAACCTCTTTAATGAGCTCATCTGCACTGGTGAGCACCAGGCCCAGTGACACTTCTCCTCCAGTTGGGTTGTCTCATACCTGGACCATGAAGTTATCCTCAACACACTCTGGGAGTCTCCTGGATTGCTCACAGCCTGCTGTGGGGCTTCCCCAGCTCACAGCCAGGTAGTTGAAGTCCCCCGTCAGGGTGAGAGCATGCGAGCATGATGCTTCTTGTAGCTGAAGCTAGAAGGCCTCATCAACAGCTCAGGCAGCCTGTGGTAGACCCCAGCCACAAGGTGTCCTTTATTGGTCCAGTCCTTAACTTTTACCCACAAGTTCTCAACCTATCTGTGGCTGCTTCTCAGAGGCATCTCTTTGCAATCAATCCATTCCCTAACACAGAAGGCTACACCCCTGCCCCTCCTTCCCTGCCAATCTCTTCTGAAAAGCTTATAGCCCTCTATTCCACTGTTCCTGTGGTGTGATTCATCCCACCGTATTTCCGTGATAGCAATCAGGTCATAGCTTTCTAATTGTGTCATCTTGACAGCGCCGTGGTTTCCAACTCCTCCTGTTTGTGTCCCATTCTGTGTGCGTTGGTGTGGAGGCACTTCAGCTGGGCTATCAGCCGCATCACCTTTTCAGAGGAACCCTTGCTAATTGCTTTGGGACAGTTCCCAAGTGTTTCCCTGTTGTTTCCTAAAGTGACAATGCTCTCAGGTTCACTTCCATCACTCAGAAGTACATCCTCTTCCCCCACCACATCTAGTTTGAAGCCCTGCTAATACACTCAGCCACCTTGCTGCCCAGAACACTCTTGTCCTACCTGGTTAA